GGGTCTAATCTCTAACAGTTAAAGCTTTGGGAGTGGTTGTCTAACATATTTTATTTTGCAAATATCTCAAAAGTGAGAATTCTAATTACCAATAATGATCTGCGTCCTAGTTGCGCCTCTAACCTGATCATATTCGTTGGCAGAGCATCTTTAAAGTCCCTCTTGAAGCATNGTGATCTGTGTCGTAATTGCGCCTCTAACCTGATCATATTCGTTGGCAGAGCATCTTTAAAGTCCCTCTTGAAGCATGTGCTTTACTTATCGCCTTTTTGACACAATCCCTTGTGTTGTAAATTGTAACTGTAATGAATAGAATAACTTTTACTTCCTTTATTTATGATTCAGCAAATACATGCAGTTATAAGTCATTTATGTGTATATGAGTTGCATGTTTTTTGTGGACTATCATTTTATTATCTTCTGGTTCTTTCCTTATTTTCATTCTTTCTGAGATCTTCAGAATCCTGGAAGTGTCCCCGCTGCAACCTCAAGGCTTTCACCTCTTCCTCCTGAACCTGCTGGTTATGATCGTGGTGCAACTGTTGATATTCCTCTAGACAGTTCCAAGGTTTATCAAAACTCTAAAGATATTTGACGAAGGCAATTTTGCCACATGTATGCCCTGCAAGGCATAGATAGACATTGTCTTACTATTCTCTTCTTTTAAATCTAGGATGTTAGAATGAAGGAGAAGGAACTCCAAGCTAAAGAGGCTGAACTTAAAAGGAAAGAACAGGTACTTACTTCTTTTTCTCTTTTATGGTAGCTTCTGAATATGAATTACTAAGTCATTGAAATCTAACATAGAATGTATTCCAATTTAATATTTTCTCCAGTGTTAAATGTTGACTCAGGTTTCATGGTTGATTATGAACCTTGTTGAACATGTCTGTCTTAGTAGAAGTGCAGTCACATGTAAATGTTGATAGGAATGGAATAATAGGTAGCCAAATGGGGAGTGAATTGTATTACCCAACAAAAAAGTTTGGCATTGGATAATGATATATTCCTTTTTTTTTCATGTGCCTGAATATATAAATTTAAATTAAGTTGACGTGTAGGCTTTTTAATTTGTAAATTTATTTTTGTAAGATGAGCTGACATTTTGGAACCTTGATTTACATTTTTACGGCATATGTCTGCCCTGTGGCTATATTAGATTTTAATCTATTTCACCTACAGACAAATAACTTTCTTCAATGTTTTGTGATCCTTCGCAGGAACTAAAAAGGAGGGAAGATGCTATAGCACGAGGTAGTTCTACATTCGACATATTTTTGTACACTAGCAAAACAGGTAGGTTGATTTTCTGGTGTCTTGTAATGAACAATCGAAGTACTTGCTTCTGTTTCGCAGCTGGAATTGTAATTGAAGAGAAAAATTGGCCACCATTCCTTCCTATCATTCATCATGATATTGCAAATGAAATACCAATCCATCTACAGAAGTTGCAGTATGTTGCATTCACAACATTATTGGGTACGTTACTTGAGCCCTAAGTTAAGGAATTAGTTCCTCTATTTAAATGCCTCCAAAAGTACTTGTCTTAGATCAAACATATGCTTCCGATCACCTCTTCTACCTTTCATGAAAATTTGATTCAATCAAAGCTAATAGGCCTGGAATTCTCTACAACTCAGCACTTTCACGTTGAAATGCTTAATAAGGGAAACTAAAAAAATCCTTACAAATTCATTTAGCTGGGANGCATGAAAATTTGATTCAATCAAAGCTAATAGGCCTGGAATTCTCTACAACTCAGCACTTTCATGTTGAAATGCTTAATAAGGGAAACTAAAAAAATCCTTACAAATTCATTTAGCTGGGAATACCTTATTTTTCTCAAAAGACTTGTGGGTAATGGGATGAGAGTTCGGTTTGGGGAGATGTTACTTTCAAGTTTATTTTCTCATTTATNGAATACCTTATTTTTCTCAAAAGACTTGTGGGTAATGGGATGAGAGTTCGGTTTGGGGAGATGTCTCTTTCAAGTTTATTTTCTCATTTATTCCGGCCCTCTCTTACTATCATGGTCTTAGTGTTGCTTCCTTGGTTAGATCCGCTTCCCACCCCATATATTGGGACTTTGGATTTCGTATAAATCTTAATGATAGGGAGTCTTCAGAGTTAATGGTGCTTCTTTCTATCCTTGAATTAGTTAATCTACATGTTGATTTTGTTGGATAAAGATGTTGGGTGCCTTGAGGCTCCTTTTCATGTTAGTCATTCTTTGAATTTTTATTGGTAATCCTTCTTTTCTCTCTCTTACCGGTCATTGAAGATTTGNAAAGATGTTGGGTGCCTTGAGGCTCCTTTTCATGTTAGTCATTCTTTGAATTTTTATTGGTAATCCTTCTTTTCTCTCTCTTACCGGTCATTGAAGATTTGAAAGGTTAAAGTGCCTTTAATTGTGCAAGTTTGTGAATGACTGATTGCTCATGGTCATGTCAATACCAATGATTTTCTTCAAAGGAAGAGACCCAAAACTACTCTTTGCCCACAATGGTGCATTTTGTAATGAGAAGTGTGAAATTGTGGACCAACACTATTAATCTCACCACTAGGATGATCTAGTCAAGAGGTTGCTTAGCCATCTCGGTAAGGAATTTCACTATGCCCCCATTGACCTTACACTGTGAGTACTATTGTAGCAAAGCCAATGCAAAGGTTAGTCCCAGGGGTCAATCTAGGATGCCAACCTGGATTCAAGGGGAAGATAGTCTCGAGAAAATTTGATTCTCTTTTTACATTGTCCCACTACATTATACTATAGAATAGATAATTTGATTTGGTTGGGATTTGTTGGGTGGCATCAAAAACTATTTCATCTTTGTTGTGCTTGGACTTTAAAGGTTTGGGTGGAGGAGGGAGGCAGATCCACCGAAACTATTTCATCGCAATGCTTTGTCTTAGCCATTTTGTAGGTCATTTGGTTGGAAATAAATTTATGAATTTTCGAAGACAAAAAGAAAATTGTGGAAAGAATATGAATCAAATTTGTTTTTTGGCATCTTTTTGGGCTTCAAGGACAAATGATTTTGATAATGTTCCTCTTGTGAAGCCGTGAGGGTTTGGAGAAGAGGAGAAGGGAGAAAAATATGAGAAGAAAGTAGCATGTTAGGTTACACGATTACACCCAACTTTTATATATAGTGACAAAATACTAAAATACCTTTAAGCTAGAATTAACATATAACATATGGTGAATAAATGCCCCTCATGCTCAANTAGTGACAAAATACTAAAATACCTTTAAGCTAGAATTAACATATAACATATGGTGAATAAATGCCCCTCATGCTCAACTTGCAAACAATTGGGTGAAAAACCTTGGTATTAAGTCCCTTTGTGAAAACCTTGGCTAACTGGTTTTTTGATTTCACAAAAGACATACAAATCGTACCCTAGTTTAACTTCTCTTTAATGAAGTGTTGATCAATTTCAACGTGTTTAGTTTTGTCATATTGAACTGAATTATGGTCATGCTTGATAGTAGTCTTCTTGTCACAATATAGTCTCATAGGTTTCTCATCATAAATTCTCAGATCTCCCAATAATATTTGGAGTCATGTAAGCATACAGACTCTATGGGCCATTACTCTATATTTAGCCTCCGCACTAGATCTCACCACCATTGCTTGCTTCTTACTTCGCCACATGATAAAATTTCCTCTAATCAGAGCAGAGATGACCCAACCACTAGTCCAATAAAACCCGGGCTTTAGGGCTCCTCTTTAAAGAAGGTNTAATCAGAGCAGAGATGACCCAACCACTAGTCCAATAAAACCCGGGCTTTAGGGCCCCTCTTTAAAGAAGGTCCCAGAATTTTTAAGTGTGTAATAATAGATTAAACAAAAAATCTAAATCCTAAAGAAATAGATCCCATAGAAAACTCAGATTGAAGCCCAAATAAATGATTTCAACTTGAGTGGATTGGGTCTATTAATTTAGCCCATGAAATTAAAAGGTCATAAAATTTAATTTTTTAAAAACAAAAAAAAAACTAATAGTAAAATTAAAACTACTAAAAATTAAGTCTTAACCCCCCAAAAAAATTCAAATTCAAATTTATCACTATAATTTTTTAATCATTTTTTGCCCCCCCTCTCTCTCACCATTAAGCTCAACTATGATAACAAAAGTTTGAATATAAAAAAAAAATTAATATTACAAAAAAGCCTAATTTATTATTTTTACTTTAGGTCCCAAAATGTTTGGGGCCGCCCCGGAATCAGAGTACAATAGCTTGAAGTAGATCATCTATCATCCTTTGAACCTGTTGACTGCATCACTAAATGCTTCCAGTTTCAAGTGGTCATTATTGGAGAGCAAGATCCCTGACTTGAGATACCTCAAAATGTGATGAACAAGTTCAAGATGAGAAATTCGAGATAAACAAAATATGAATAAAAGCTTTCGTCATTAAATTTTTTTGTCAAATTATCTTCCTCTTATCTGCTTTCTATGGATGGATGGGTATTGCAAACCTTTAAAATGGGAATCAATTCAGTTAGTTATGACATCTAGAGATCAACATCTAAATGGATATTTATTTAAAAGACTGGGGTATGGCCATACCATAATTTGTCAAATGTTACCTCACGAATCATGTTGTGTTTTGTGAAAATAAAGTCTTGTTGTTCAAAAGATGACACTTTTCTTTATTAGTTGGGTAAAGGCAATTTGTACGTGCTGTATTGTTCAATCCCTGTTTTTGGATAATTCACTTTTGTCGAAAAGCAATTCATATGGACTGTGGTGGTTTTGGTTCTTAGACTTTGTGATATTTTGCAGGACTATTTGTCTGTCTTCTGTGGAACGTTGTAGCAGTTACCGTAGCCTGGATCAAAGGGGAAGGTTGGTTTTGAAGTTGTTCATACAGATTTATAAAATGTTTGGTGATAAATCATTTTATTGGGTACTAATTTCAAGTTCTATTTTGTTGTAGGTCCAACAATTTGGTTTCTTGCAATCATTTACTTCATATCAGGGGTTCCAGGAGCCTATGTGTTGTGGTATCGTCCTCTTTATCGTGCTATGAGGTACTTTTAATGCTCTTTACATTTTCCCGAGTGCCATTGCCTATGGTTGCAAAGGCTGTAACATAAGGATTCCCCTGCATTTGTTGAGCCTATGAAAGACCGCTTCTCACACCTTGTGCCTGGGAATGAGTCCCAGTGTTTTGATGGATTGATACATGTAGTCACATGTCATTCAAATTCTTACACGCTGGGCTCTTTCTTATTGGCACTCTAAAAAGGACATTCTTCTTACTTATATGGTAACCTCATTTTTTGTGCTTATCAGGTTTAGAATGTGATGAATTGGTTCTCCTCAAATAGATTTGTCTTTGGACTGCTTATTTTTTACACTAATCCGTTTATATAATATCTGTTGCTAAGTCTATTGTCCTTCAATATCGCTTGGTGGTGTGGTCTGCTTTACAACTGTGTTTACACTTTTGACAGAACTGATAGCGCTCTGAAGTTCGGGTGGTTTTTCTTGTCCTACCTGGTAAGCTTCCATAATTTTGATATTTCAACTCTCAACATTGGATGCTTATTGGAGACCTTATTTTTTTCCCTTCATTTTCTCTGTGCAGTTTCACATTGGCTTCTGCGTCTTTGCTGCAGTTGCTCCGCCAATTATTTTTAAAGGGAAATCACTAACGTGAGTTTTCTTTTCATATTTTATCCCAGGAGGGATCTGCCCTCCCCCTTCCTAAGAAGGAAAGAAGGAGCCATATAGTGACAAATTCTATTTGGGGATTTTTTTTCCTCCTCTATATTGTTCAACTGATGCTTGGCTGCTTGTATTCATGTGTAACAGAGGAATCTTGCCAGCAATTGATGTTTTGAGTAATCATGCTTCGGTTGGGGTGAGTTTGTAGGAGTTAAGGATTCTGATTGAAAAATGTTGCTGCACAACAGCAAATATTGCTTGTACTAGTTGTTCATATCCCATTTGGTAACTACACCGTTAAAATTTTCCACAATTGTTTATTTGCTTTCTTCTCAGAACTGTTTTATTTCAGTTTATGATATGTGGCCAATGTAGCAAGAATAAAAATGATCCAAAAGAAAGAATTATATCTGATTTTCATCTTAGTGCTCATATTTTGTGGCCATTTTTGCTTTTGTTGCGGTAGTTAACACTTCCTTTCACTTGCAGATCTTCTATTTTGTTGGATTTGGGCTATTCTGCCTTGAATCCCTGATCAGCATCTGGGTTATCCAGGTTCAATAATCTGGCTTTTTTTGTCACGACACACACATATGCGCAAACCCGAGAGTGTAACTCCATTTATCTGCTACTTTTGTGATTTGCTTGTTTTTTTCTGAACCTCTTGCTTGATCCTACGTGCAGCAAGTTTACATGTATTTCCGAGGCAGCGGCAAGTCTGCAGAGATGAAGCGCGAGGCTGCAAGATCGACTATGATGGCAGCATTATGACATGACATCCATGGAGTCGGAGATGGGAGCTTATTGGCCATAAAGTTGAATTCTTTAGCCACTGTTTTCTCACACCTTCTACGCATATTTTGTTATATTCACTGTGATTCTTTTAATACACGACATTCACGGATCAAGAGCAACAGTTAGAAACATGATAGTCTTTGCAGTTCTCAAAGATTCAGAGATTCTTAGAATTATCATATGTTTGTTTAATCCTTCATTTCCTTGAAATGAATGTTCCGAATACATATACTCATTCAGATTCAGACGATAATACAAGAAGCCTGAAGTTTGGAAATTTTGTTCATATTGTGGGAGGGTTTGAACAATTCTGAGTTGTTTCACTGGTGGACATTACTCTATGAGGTGCAGTGTCATCCACTGGGTGTAACATTGACACAGTCGTGACAATCAGGATTCAGAAAAAATGTCCTCTGAACAAATCATCTTTGAATGCTTATCAAAAGGCTTCAGAATTTTAGCAAAAAGTTAGTACCTTGTAAAAATATAAGACATTATTTCCTACTGTATAGCAGCAAGGAGAAACGAGGCATCAACTGTTTCTGCCTTCTTAATCCTCCATAAGCACGTTCACAAGCTTACCGCGAGCTCAGATCATATCCAACACTCCCACTCCATGCAAAGGTGGAGCATCCCCGTGCAAAGAGATAACATTGTATGACCAAAACTATCCTTCAGCCATCAATATCACCATTCATCTGGGATATTGCTTCTTCCAGGCATTCACTAATAAGCATTGATTTTGAAGAAACCGAGGTTCCTGTTGGTTTCAACCCAGCTCTTCCCAGGCATCTTCTTAACTCCTCTACCTCGCATTTGCCTCCAAATCTTTAGAGCATCATTCCACCGGCCAACTGCTCTATACACGTTAGCTAGAAGAACATAGCTCAAATGGTAATCAGGATCCAGTTCCATCATTTTCTTAGCAATACGCTCTGCTACAGTTGGATTTGTACTGGTTGAGCAAGCACCAAGAAGAGCTGCCCAAAGAGAAGAATCGTCTCTGAATTCTGCCATCTGTATTAGTTTTTCAGCTTCTTCTATCTGCCCAGCACGGCCTAGGAGATCAACCATACAACTATAATGCTCAATTCCAGCTTTAATCCCATATTCTTCGGTCATTGAGATAAAAAACTTGCGCCCTTGATCGACCAAGCCTGTGTGGCTACAAGCAAAAAGAACTCCAATAAAACTGATATAATCAGGTTCAATTCCCTCCCTAATCATCTCATCAAGCATCCTAATAGTATGTGCACCTCTTCCATTTTGTGCAAACCCACAAATCATTGAGTTCCAACCTATCAAATTTCTAGAAGGCATCTCTACAAATATCCTATAGGCTAAATCAATACAGCCACATTTGGCATACAGATCGACTAAAGCTGATTCTACTATAACATGCCTCCAACCACCCCTCCTCAGGTACTGGCAGTGGACCTCTTTTCCTTGCCTTACAGCTGCCAAACCTGCACAAGCACGAAGAACAGTTCCAAAACTGTAGAGATCAACCTCATTCATTACCCTGAAAAGATCAATGACAGAGTCAAAATCACCCTTTTGACAATATGCCCCGAGTAAAGCACACCAAGAAACCATATTCTTTATCTCCATTCTATCAAAAACAGATCGTGACTCATAAACCAGCCCACATTTTCCATACATATCCACTAGGCTACTCTCAACCACCAAATTTCCACGAATACCACTAGTAATTGCCTTGGCATGCACTTCCTTACCTTGCTTAAACCTCCCCAAATTCCCACAAGCCGCCATAACTGTCCCAAATGTAAACCCATCTGGTGATAGCCCATAATTCCTAAGCATCAAATAGAAAAAAACCAATGCTTCCTCAAACAAATTGTTCCTTGTGAAGGCAGAAATGACCGAAGTCCAACAAATAGCATCCGGTTCAAGCAAATCATCAAACAATTTACGTGCACTTTCTGACTCATAGTTCCTTCCATACATATCAATCAAAGCACTAACAATAACAAGATCACACTCAAACCCACGTCTAAGAACCACTCTATGAAGGCATTGGCCGAGTTTCAATTCGCCAAGCTCTGAACATGCCTTGATCACAGCAGATAAGGTGAAGCAATTTGACTCAACGTCAAAATCTAACATTTCCCTAAACAAGACAAGGGATTTCTCGGGTTTTCCCACACGAATGTACCCTGATATCATCGACGTCCAAGAAATAATATCCTTGTAATAGAGACCGTCAAAAACCCTTCTAGTCTCCGAGAAATTCGAGCCCAATTTAAAATACAGAGCAAGTAAACTATTCCCAACAAAGCGGTCAGTTTCGAGACCTGTTTTGATGACATGGGAATGGAATTGGAGACCATGAATGAAAGAATGAGCTTTGGTGCATGTTTGTAAGAGGGAAGCATAAACGATCGGTTTTCCACGGATTTCGGTGGAATCAATGGAGTTTAGGAGTTGGAGGGCTTCGTAGAGGAAGCCGGATTTGCACAGTTCGACGATTTTTGCTTCCTTAGATGATGGGTTCTCGATCGGTTTTGGATTGAGAGAGAGAATAGAGCTGTAATGGCGTTTCGAGAATAGCTTCATCAACTGTGTTGAGACTCGAGGGTATTTTTTTTTTGAAAATTTCGGAAGGTTGTTAGTACCCGCCTTGGAGTTATGTTTGTTTTGCCCGCCTTACCCTTATGAAATGTGGAAATGACTTTCCGAACCTGCACTGTCTTCTCGGGGGAGTAAATATTAAATGTAACGGTGATACCATCTCAGCAATGTTGACTAAGTTTTACCAACTAATAATCAAATGCTAAGTGGATAAAGTGAGCTCCACTTGAATAGTTATTTACTTATATGAAAGAATAGTGATAGTTATTTATTTATACGGAAAGTTGATTATTAATTTTAATAGGATTCATTTATTTATTTGTTTTGATATTATTAATCAGTGATATCAGGATAACATTGTCACATGGTATCACCGTTTGTAATAAATATTTTCTCTTTCTTAGAGCATGCTTGCTTTTGGTTATAGAATGGTACAACCGGATATGATATGTTGTAGTAGTCTGAAAATTTTTTTATATCGCATTTGTTATGTCTGTTTTTAGTTCGGTGCAATAATTTGAAGACTACACTTGCGGATCTAGCTCCTTTGCTATGCGCCGAGAACAGCACAGCCTGTTGTTCTACAAAAAATGCGAAGTTTTGATCCTTTTTTTTTTTTGCCTTCAAACAGTATCGTTTTAGTAAACATAAACAGTACTTGGAGTGTTGCCCCCTAAAAACTTCTAAGCCCGCCATGGAATAGAGAACCACGATGGCCAAAATTCCTTCTTCCATTGTCCTTCTTCTTGCCACAAGTAACCACGTTAATATTGTTATTTCTTGTCGGCATCTAACCCCTGTAATACGGCTCCCCCAATCTCTAAAATCTCTCTCTCTCTCTCTCTCTCTCTCTCTCTCTCTCTCTCTCTCCACACACACACAAAGGCAGGGTAAGAGGATTTCTTTGCGATACAAAAACAGTAGCTATGATTTGTCTCCTTTTTTTTTTTTTTTGAATCTTTTGGTAATTTTATTTTTGTATTTTTTATTAGTTATTTTTTCCATAATACCTTATTTATGAATATGTGCATATATGTACACACACAAACATAAATCGATGTACATACACACCAACAAATAGAATATTATCTAGGTTGATTTGACTTCAATAGTTCATTATGTGTTAATAATGTCAATTTACTTTTGTTGATGTGCACATACATACGCATTCACTAAGCGACTAGTTTATTGTTGAGAGGTAACAAATAATTCAGATAGGCTAAAGATATGTTAGCATTAGCTAGAATTAGAGAGTTAGCTTGTATTAGAGAGTTTTCTGAATGAGAGCAAAGCTTACTAGACTGAGTTCCACTTCCATACTCCAGTTTACAAAGAGTTAATGGCTGGCTTGTTTGTCTAGGCCCACCACTTCACCTTAAGCTCTTAGTTCCATCCATACATAAGCATTCCCTTTTCTCCAACAAAAACAAGTGGTAAACTACTATCCACTATCAGTTCCAAAAAAAAAAAAAAAAAACTACTATCCACTACCAAGCAAGTGAGCCAACTAACCCCTTTAGACTTGTATATATGTAATAGACCTATTTTTTGGAAGCGTCATTCACTTCCCTCTTTCACAAACCCTGCATCCATATTGCATCTATATTCCTCTTGTTAACGACTATATGGAATTGTATACAAGTGCAGAAGCATAAGATCAAAGACTTAGTTTTTTTCACTTTAATTTAAAAAAATTTGGAAGATGTTTCACATACTTTAGAAATCCAATGTCAACGTCTCTTTTTACTTGCTCTAGCGATACAATATTATTATATAAGACGAATCAACACTGGTTTTTCACAACATAAAAGCCTTCTTGAGTGTTATGTAAGGGGAGAGAAAGGGAGAACAAGAGATTTTCTAACGCTAGATGAATTATCATAGATGTATTCTGTTGGATTGCCTTGGGTTTATTTGGGCAAATAATAGGTGTCTTGAAGAGATACCCCTTTTAAAGGACCTGCCTATTAACAAACGTACATTTTGGGTGCTAAAGGACACCTCCAAAAGTCATGCAAATTGGACATTCTCCAATTCGGTCGACTAGCCATGGGCGCCCCATACAAGGTTAATGACCCAATATTCAATCCCCTACTCGCACATGGTCGGCGTGACACTGTCATCTCTCTCAATCTGTCATTTACACCAACGTCAGTTCATATATGTCATTGTGATCGTTGAGCACACCTGCAATTTAGGAGCTCTTACTAGGTACTCTATAGAGTCAATGTAGAGATGTCAATCCTAAAAAAAAAAATTGTCTCAAGTACTCTAGACACGTTCAGAAACACCAATTTAAGCATCTCTAATCCCTTACAACATAATGGTTAGCCTCTCGAAGCTTTCTACTACATTCATACTTTGTCACTATTGAAATAGAGTCAAAGTTGTTGATGATGAATATAAATGGGATGTTCTAAATGGTCTTCAACCCTCATGTCACTTAGTTCAAAACTAGTTGTTTTCCCAACAATGTCCAAGATATAGTTGAGTATTAATTCTTTCACTTCATGACATAGTCAAAAGTCAAAAAATACAAAAAATGTTTGGTTATACAAAATAACCTAGTCATGTAAAAATTACCTGAATGATTCACATGGTGAGGAAGCAGGGATTTATTCATTCACTCCTTTAACTGGTAACCAAACACATGTAGTATAAAATATAAGCTACAGTGGAGTGTCTTGATCCTAAGGAGAGCATATGTCATACTCATACACCATACCGATCTTAATATAGTCGCTATACAAGCGCCTAAACTGAGTTCTTTATCTGTTCGCCCTCCAAAGGCACCAAATTCAAATATCGCATCCGGTTAATCCACATAAGACAAGCATAAAGGGCATGAAATTGTGTCCATTACCGATCATCAAATGTCAAATCCATGTAATCACTTGTAACCTATGCGCATTAATAAAATTCAAATTTTAGGGCAAACAGCAGTTGCACCTTGTAAGATTAAAAAAAAATTAATTTACACTCTCAAAGATCAATTGTTTCAAATTGCACCATCATTGAAATTAATTGATAACAATGTGACTCCAACCATAACATTTGTTACGATTTTCATTAGATTAAAAGGAACATGAAACACACATGAAAAGGGAAAGAGTCATAATCCAACAAAAATCATTACATGCATCTTACGTGACTATCAATTTGATGGGAATTGCAACAGACGTTATAGATAGGGTCTACAACGCTACCCATTAATTAATCTTTAAGGGTGTAAATTATTTTAATGTTTTGGAGTGCAAAGTGCTATTTGCCCCAAATTTTATAGATCTAATGTTATTTTTATTTTAGTCATTAGAACATTAGTATGGTGGTTGTTAACACCACTCTCTGACAAATTGACTTTGGGGCTTAAATATCCAAATTTTTATCCTATTTAAATGCCATCAAAGCTAGATTGGTCCAAAAATAAATTGATTTTGATGTATCTTTGCATTGCAACCTTAGAAACCTCCTTCCAATCTCCTTCAATAAGCTATAAATGGAGCCATTAATCCTGACTTTTTATGGCCCCATCAAGGAAAATAAGCTTGTATCTATACATACTTAAGCAACAAGTAATGACATCATCACAATACCACAAATAATACTTACATATTCGTATTCACATAATACAAATCAAAGAATAATCGGATCACATGAATTTGAAAAATATGGTCGATAATTTGTCAAAATATTAATTTATATTGATCTTTGTGTCCCTTTTTAAAGTGTGGGTTCATAGAAGCAATTATTATTATTATTAATTTTTTTATACACAATAGATATGGTGCATTGCTAATATACTATAAAAAAAAAAAAAA